CCTATAGAGTATAGAGTATTATTGCATACATTTTAAAATAATAATCAGATTGTTTAACAACAAAATAAGTCAAATACATCTTGGATTTACATTTTGGAAATTTTATATCAATAAACAGTATTAATTTGGCTTTTGGGGAAATAACATAAAAAATTAAAAATTGTTTTTCAATTTTGTCATATTTTATGTAAATGCATCTTTTGCGATTTATTTATTATATTTTAATCTGTGGAGAAATTTAAAAAATTGCAAAAATTATAACTCAAAATATGAAAATGCACATTAACGTACAAAAAAGCAATTTTATTAAATCTACTTTTAAAATCAAGCATAACTAAAAAACTATGGTACTTATTGTTAGCTGTCTAATTTTTTGCGTGCTTGTTTTTAATATTTCTATCAGCCAATTAATATAATATAGGAGAGATTAACTAGAAGACGAATATTTATATATGCCTTAAAGAAGAATTTAAATGTTTTAAATATATATTTAATATTCTATATAAAAGATCTCCTTCCCATGTATATTCTTCAAACAAGGACTTTCAAAAAACTATTTTTTTAAAAGCATTTCAAAGAGTAGACTGCTTCCTAGTGGCAAATATGTCTATATCTGCATTCTTCCTTTAACCTTTTCAAAGGACGAATTTAAATCATGTCACATAATGTATCGGTCCTTAAAAAACGTACCCTTAAAAAGTCTTTTAGAAAATCTCGTAAATTATGCAAATCAAGTCAAGAATTCATTGAATTTTAACGAAGGATAACTACTAGTCGGTCGAAAATAATTGCAACTAACAAATAATACGGCTCAACAAAAAAAAAAGAAAAGGGAGATAACCATTTCTTAATACTAATTTCTTAATACTGATTAAGAATTTTTTCGTAATGCTTTATCATATTATAATTTTAAGAAATTTTACATTAAAGTTTTTAAAAAGGATTATTTTAACATAATTTGTGCCATGTTATAGCTATAAAATGACGGTCTGAATATAACGGATAAAATAAAATATTTCTACTACATTAACTACCATAACTATAACATGGTAAATTACGTTAAAATATAGTTCTTTTTTGATAACATTAACTCTACATCTCAAAATTGTGATGTGCTTTTTTGCAGACTAGACTTATATTTAGCATGAAAAGAACTACAGCGAATGCTTATATTCATTCTTGTATTTATATAGAAACAGTTATTTTATATTGAACTGTATAATCAGCAGAATCTCGCGTCTCGAAATTGCGTTCTTTTTTTCCGGATACTTTGCATACATTTAAACTGTCGAAACTATGACATAAATCGTAAATAAAATCTTCGGCTTAGCAATTTCGTGTCATTTAGTCTCTCCCGCGCGATTAAAATCCTTTTTTTTAGAGAAACTGTTTTGTTCAATTTTGAAACTTATAATAATATGTCTAGAAAATTTATTCAAGGAAAAAAGTGATAATAAATGTTCTTTTAAACTTTCAAATAATGGCTATTAAAAACTACTACCAATTTATGATAAGTATATTATAGTTTTCTCTCTCTCTCTCTCTCTCTCTCTCTCTCTACATATTATATCTGATTAATTATAGAAAGAGAGAGAGAGAGAATCTCTCATACATTTATTTTTGTTTTTAATAACATTAGTTTTAAATCAAGTTCATACTTTGAGGAAGTCTTGTATGTAAACACACGTGCAAGATAAACACACGCTTTGCGTAGGTGAGCGTATATATTCATACAAGTTCTTTCCCATTCCCTTGCCTTTGACGTTCCTGTTTCGTCAATCCCTTCCGCAGGAACCGGCGACTCGATTGTGGGCGGCCATCAAGGGAACGGGAAGGAAGCAGGGATCCCAAAGAAAAGAGAGAAGAGAAGAGAGAAGAGAGAAGAGAGAAGTAGATCGGGCTTTTGGTGGAAGGAGACCCTCGAGAAGAGCACCGTGCAGGTAGCTCTTAGTGGACGCCTACAAACCTGTTTTACCTGTTATGTCTTGGACCGGCTTATATGAGTACCGGCCGATTGTATGGCCTGTGATGCCGATGATCATGGTGTTTGGCGCGCTTTTTTTCGAGGAATGCCTGGGCGCATCGCGCGCCGAACCGCGGCTGTTTTTAACCACAATGACGATCTTTCTTCATTCGCCGCGCCTTAGTAAGTAGGGATGAATTCGCGCGTACCCGAAAACGTAGGAATTTCAGACATGGCAGATATGTCTGAAACAGCCGCATGTATTCTTTGTTTCTCGAAGAAAAAAATACATAAAATTCGAATAATAATAATTTGTGTCATTATTAAAACGTAAATAAAAATCAGAACATAGCAATGTGATTTATAAAATTATATAAAGCGATTAAAAATACATTAGAATTCAAATTTCTATTTTCTTTTTTAGTTTCGAAACATTTATCGATATATTTTGCTAAGCTTCGAAAAATCTTTTTGTATAAAACAATGATCATAGTTACTCATGTGCAAACAAAGACTAATGTGATTCATTTAGCAAGTTACCTTTGGCTACGGGAAGTGTTAAGATTCATATGTGGATACATATTAATTCATCCCTACTTTGCGTATATTAGATATGAAGAATGATATTCTGATTAGTATCTTTTTTCTCGGTAATAATTCAAGATATTTGTCCGAGTTACTGATGATGATTTCATTAAATTACATTCCGAGAATGTAAAAGAAAGTAGAAGAGATTCGATAACATTCGCTCGAGACGAAAATTAGGCTTGTTATCGTGACAAGGTCAGAGTTTAATATAGATTAACTACCCAGCTAATACGGTTATTTTGCTTCCGTTTTAAAAGTAAGCTCTTTTCAATGATTTCGATAAAAATTGAATTCATAATAAATGTTCCTCATTCACAATTAAACTCGGAAGTTCTATCGTCACCAATGATTTTAATTAAGAAAAAAAGCACTTCAGACCGATTAAAGAATCTTATCCCGACATAAATCGTACGGTAAATTTATCTATCGTAATATAAAATATGATAAAGGAAGGATAGAAATATCTCGCAGATCAGACCACGTGCATCACGCGTGGCGGTATATTGAGACAATTTTTCGCGTTTTGCCGCGATTAAGATAAGCGAGAGAACAGCGGTGGTAGCGGAATTGTTGAAGGAAGACGAGAGGGGGCGAGAACGGGAGAAGGACTTGTTTGCTCGAGATTATAGCGGATTAATGAGTTCGACCAGATCAACAACAACACGGTTGAAATTTATCGAAGCAAAGCCATGTATCTTTTCTTTTTTCGACAGCCCTTTGCTAATAGTACGGAATGTGAACTTCATAATGGCAAAAATGAAAAAAAAAAAAAAAAAAAAAAAAAAAAAAAAAATTAATCAATATGTGAAGTCTTTTATGTACCATTTATATTTTATTACTAGACACTATAAAAATATTGTAAGTTTTTATCTCACAGTATCAATTTCATTTTTGCTGTGTTTCGTAAACGAACGAGTTTGAAAAAATAACCGGTTGTCAATCATCGCGGTTTTACACATATCGTATGAACAACAAAACAGAAGTTGGGAATGTTTAAGCACGCATAAAGCGCGATTATCGCAATGTAAAAAGCTAAAACAAAAATAATTTAGAATTATTCCAAAAATATACTAGCGTATAATTTTATGGCATCGCCGAAACCTCTGTTCTCTTTCTCTCTCTTTTTATTTTTATTTTCTGAAATAAGTTTAACAAGCGGCGCGCCGCTTCGGCGTTAAAATTCGCGACGTATGATATTTGAGTTCGGATTTTTTATTGATACGACGTTGTTGATACGGCGATCGTCTTTTATATCGCGCGAAAACCCGATGATCTGCATTTCGACCATGAATTATTATCTGTGTTTACGTAAGATGGAATCTAGATATTGATCACATTAATAATTCAATACTCAGAAATTCAATTATCGCGGAGACTCCATATTTCAGATACGGTTTTTTAAATAAAAATTCACCAATTTTATTCTCATTTGCCGCGACGGGAATTTGTTTATTCGATCTATTTACAATATGTATTATATTTTAGAGAGAGACGTGATTAACATAACAATAATATAAGAATCTTATCTCACGATTAATTAACTGAGTCTTTTTTATTGTAGAGTTAATCTAACTTTGCACAAGAGATCCAAAGAATATTTGCATCGATTCTATCTATCCATTATTTTACGATGCCGTAAGAATCACGTGGCGCTTATTTTTATCTAATTAAATTGCATATAGTAAAATGTATCAAACCTGTGCTGATAACGGGATGTAATAGAAATCAAGATAAACAGAAATATATAAATGTTTTGAATAAACACAGATAAGGAAATGCATTTGTGTAAAAGATCTCTTATTATTAGATTTAGAGATATATTTATAGATATATTTATCTTATAAAGCTAAATGAATTTTAAATTAAGAATCTGTGAGAGAAGGAATTGTACCCAAATATAATTATATATGTAATGTAAATATAAGAATATGTTCTCTCTCATAATAAAAGAAAATACTAAATGATACCATTATTATTTATAAGTCGCAAAGAAAATAATGTGAAGGTTAATTACCGTTGTATATTTTTTTAGAAGAAATGTGAGAAGTTTGCGCGATTATATTTTATATAATATGTTTTATATATAATTTGTATATATAAGTTATTTTTTCTCGAACAAATTTATGTTTTGTAATCTACTCTCAGTTTCCTTTTTTTTTGAAAAAATACAATACGCGGATGCAGTTACCCTTTTCATTTTCCTTTGACCTATGAACGATGGAGGGCACGCGCGTGGTATATATTTGCCTTCGTAATTATTGATATATTCTACACATAACGCATAATTGAATATTTTTTACATGATTAATTACGTATAGACAATTTTTTTTCCCGGAGATATTCAGCATCAAACATGTATTATTTCGTTGTATTTCTTTACTTTAACTTTATACGCGCGAATATTTATATATAATGAATATAATATAAAATTTCGGAGATATATATTTACCTAACAAGTGCATTTCGTTGAAAAGTCCCGGAGTCCGTTAGGCTACTGTCTCGGTTGCTTCCATCAAGTTGTTGCACGTTGCGCGCATGTGGAAACGATCGGCCGGGGTTAACTCGACGACAATCACGATCGCTATTACGAGGAAGCTACGAGAAAGTCGGCGGGAATATCTTTTTTCTCTGTTTCTCCACCTTTGCACGCCGCGACTTCGCGATGATCTTCCCCACTCGATCGCCATGACAACGGTTCGATTATTTCCGCTGGCGCCGTCGCCAACGTCGACGCGCGATTGGCCGTCCGCTGTTACCAATGATTCCACTTGTTCGCCCCGAAGTGAGCGCCGTCTCGCTCGCGCTCCATCACTGCGCAGCGCGGGGCGCGTGGTAGGGGAAGTGCGCGAGTCTGTCGTCTGGCGGCAACTTTCCACTCTCTATGTTTCCTACACCGGGGAGCTCAGTCGCTCGCTGACCTCGGAACGCGCGACAGTGACGGGATATGTAATTGACAGCCGTTCGCAATCGCACCGCAATTGCCGCACCAACGAATTTGAAGCGATCGCCCCCGCGTGATCGCGTTCGTCTGCGCATCGAATCTTCTCCGATTTTCGCATTACTCCTATATATCGTCCACTTCCGTCATCGCTCCATTGTCGGTGTCACGGAGGAGTTTAGGCGGAAACGATACAAGTGCCGCCGCAGTTAAAGACGAAGTGAGATAACAAGTGCGCGACGAGTGCTTTAATGACCGAGGATTCTCTCCCGTTCTTCTGTGATACGTAACGAGAAGCGCCGTCGCCTCTATCGCGACCGCGAGATAATCCCTCTCACGTGTTCGCGCCGCCGCGGCGAAAAGTTCGGCGCGCGGGGGACACAGCCTCGCTGTCTATATATATATATATATATCTCTCTCTCTCTCTCTCTCTCTCTCATCCGCGCGCGGATGTCGTCCGCCGCGACCTGATTACGCGCGCCGCATGCCGCCCCGTGCGTGGCACGAGGAACGGCGACGATTCGCCGTCCGATGAACGTCGAAACGTTTTGTGTCGGATTGAACGACGACGACGACGACCCGTTGCGCGCGCGTATTCGGCGATTCTTCCGATTCTCCGGTTGTAAACAAACCGTCGTCTTCGTCATTGGTGTGTTGTGACCTCGCAGCCGCGTTTCGCGAAACGTTGTTTTTTTCTCCTCCCGGAATTATCAAGAGTCGGCGATTTACGAACTCCGTATTCTACACGAATTCAAGCACGATTTACGAAAATTTATTGCGCGCTTTGTCTTATCATGTTTATGTTAGTGATGGATGGACACTTTTCCAACTTGACGGAATTTAAACTATACAGTTAAATAATATCGGTTTTTAAGTTCGAAGTTGAATAATTTATATAATTGATTTTTAATTCTGTGATTTATATAATCTTTTTAATTATGTAATCTCTCACAGCCTGCGTCCGGACCTTTGGCAAAGGATTTTATCGACGAGACGTGTCGCGGTCGACAGCGGGACGGAGCGAAGCAGAGACAGCGATCCAAGGTAATTGTCCGTATATTTTTCCGTGTGTTTTATCCGCGAAAAAACGACGTTCGACCCTAAATCCCGATGTACTCGAGCCACGTCGACGACGTCGCAGTGTGTGTGTGTGTGTGTGTGTGTGTGTGTGCGCGCGCGCGCGCCCGTATTGTGTGTTTAACCCGTTGCGCGCGCGTATTCGGCGATTCTTCCGATTCTCCGGTTGTAAACAAACCGTCGTCTTCGTCATTGGTGTGTTGTGACCTCGCAGCCGCGTTTCGCGAAACGTTGTTTTTTTCTCCTCCCGGAATTATCAAGAGTCGGCGATTTACGAACTCCGTATTCTACACGAATTCAAGCACGATTTACGAAAATTTATTGCGCGCTTTGTCTTATCATGTTTATGTTAGTGATGGATGGACACTTTTCCAACTTGACGGAATTTAAACTATACAGTTAAATAATATCGGTTTTTAAGTTTGAAGTTGAATAATTTATATAATTGATTTTTAATTCTGTGATTTATATAATCTTTTTAATTATGTAATCTCTCTTTTTTTTTCGCGAGAGTTGCGGTGCTTGAAACACTTTATTTCGCTATTGTTTATATAAGCACTAAATATCTCATTGAATAGTGTATTGAATGCGGAATTATTTTTATAAATATAAGAATTATATCCGAAGCATTAACTCATATTTTTATTTATTTCACGTTAGAACGGATTTACGTCTACAATCCTAAAATAAATGTGTCAAATACTATCAGAAACATTGGAAAATTTAAACTTGAGATTTTCAGTAAATTTACTTCGTGAATAGCACGCAAAATTTCAGATTTAATCACATTGATAACTCACATTTATATTTTCAAATACACATAATTTGACGAATTATTCTCCGCATATTATTCTCTATAGAATTTCTAATTTAATCGAGAACTTTTCTTCGTAATCGACGATTCATCCTCGTATGTGCGTATAATTTATTCGTGTTCTTCCGCGTGTCCGCATCGATCGTCAGTCTCAAGAGGTCAGCACTCGATGATGTTGATGAATTTTCCGTTCTCCCTCGATTCTCCTCGTTGCCGCGCTCTCGAGAGATTCGGAGCGGATCGCGAGCGGCTCGTTACGATCCGAGTTAATTCCGGCGCGGAACCCGGAAATCCGCTAAAAGCTCGACCTCGCTTTAATCCGCTCGACGATGTTAATAACCGGTCGTGCGGAATTCAATTAACACGGACCGCTGACGTCAACCGCCTATTGGCCGCGACTTTGTTATGCGAAACATCGGGGAGTAAATAATAAACGCCGTCGCCGACTGTTGTCTCCTCGGAAGCGGAGAGCGAATGCACTGGAGGTTCGACTCGCGCGATAAGAGATAAGTGAACCGGCTATTATTGCGAATTCTTGCCGCAAGAAACGAAATCGACGAATTCGACCGCTCTCGAGATCATGCCTTATTGATTAAATTTCTCTGTCGAATCTGCACAATAGATATGACAATACTAGTAATGTAAAATAATCTTGTATATATGTTATCTTAATATTATAAAAGCAATTTATTATCTCATCACACGAGGATTAAATTTAAAATGATAATTGGGGATTATTGATAATATCTAGATGTCATTTTAAATGTCATTTTTATACGATTATATATAATTAGATGTAGTTACGTGTAAGGGTATCATTATGTTTGACATATGGCGAGAGTTGAGGTGCTTAGGCTACTTTTAAGAGTACTTAAACTACTTCTGAAATTACTTCCTGATAGGACAGCCTTCGCGATGATTTATGTAAACTTTAAATGTTTTTTTTTATATATTTATTTGAATATAAATTTTGTAAAGCTTTTGTGAAATGGTTTAGATTCTTACACATTCACATTTTAAATACAAGCAGATATTTGAAATGAGAAATATTTCTTTTAATGTATTACAAAATTTTTTTGTACGAAAATTAAAATACTCCGAATATGTGGGATACATATACGCACAAAAAGGCGGAAGTGACGTTCGGATATATCTCACGGGTGTTGAAATATTCAAACCTACAATCTTATCGCTCGGAGAACACATTTCGCTTTAAATGGATCTTTAAACGATCGCTACCGGAACGACGACCGTCGAAGAGTAAAGACCTACCTAAGGCGCTTCTGTCACTTGGCGATATAATCGAAGGGATCTAATCTGTCGTTAACTGCAATGTGTACGGAAATGTTTTACGTAAACCCAGCCCGGTAGGAACCGCTCGTATTTCTTAATCGTTATTGAGGAAGTTGCGCGTTATCATTTACATAACGCGAGAGTGAGCGAGCGGACGAACTCGCGCGCGTAATACCTGCCCGCTCGCGGCTTTCGCAAGATTTCCACGAAGCCTTGTGCGGGCACCGGACGAAACTGGTTCTCTTTTTCCTTCTCAAATTTGCAACTCGTGCCTCCGTAAAGCTATTACGAATCAAAGATTGAAATCGCTGTAATTTTGACGTGTTTCCATGCGAACAAGATTGTTGCGTTACGTTATCAAGATAGAGGATTATGTTTGCGCACGTCTGTAGTATCAAAGTCTGAAGCGTAAAACTGTACCGGATTTAATTTCTATTATCTGGATCGTCTCGCGAAATGGCCCGTGTGTTATATTTGCTAATACCTTCTTCACATGCGTGAAAAAAGTACGTTTGTTTACGGGCGATAGCGACAATATTAATACTTGCTTGTAGTGTCACAACGTCTTCCTCGACACGTAATTCTTAAGGAAAATATTATTTAAATAAAGCGCAAAGATCTTTAATTTACATTTTTAGACAATTTCTCTCTCTCTCTCTCTCTTTTATTCTTGTTGAAATTATTAAAACTTGATAGAACTTTTAATGAATGGAATGGACCGTTTTTTTAAATGACGAAAATCGATTGCCAGCGAAAATTTACACTCCGATATGTTTATCTTTTTTATTGATAAATATTAAAAAAAATAATGATTATTAATTCTGTCATTAAAAGAATATGACGTTATATTTACTACGTATATCGTCGCACGATTGTTTCAATCAATCTTACGACGAAAATATAGATATAACGAGAAACCTCATTTCTGAGAAAAAACGTTTCAATTCGTTTTTCCTACATAAATTGAATATAAGAGAGAGACGCGGTGAGGATATTCTCGGTTTCTCGCCTCGCTAGGCGCGAGCCGGAGCTACGCTTTCCTCCTTTGTCCGGTCGAGACGCGGATTGATTTCTGATTAATGCGGATCCTTTCTGTGATACTTCCTCATTGCGAAACCGCGGAACGGCAGCCGACGAGATGCGAGCAATTAAACCTTCTCTGCGAGAAGAATCTCGCCGTGAAGATGTTTACAAACTCCGTAAGCAGATAGTAAGAAGACAAAGCGGGGAGTCGGCCTCGCTCATTGGCGTAAGCTGACGTCTATTCGGGAAAATATGTGACACTTAATCCGTCAAAAGAGATCGCGTGTGATCATAATATAATTATAAATAACACTATTAAACATTAATAAATATATCGTATAAATTAACACAGATATGAGATTTATAAAGCAAATCTATTTTTTTCTTTAAATTCCTTGAATAGTGCGAAATATATTTTTATTAATTTCGTTTGTTAGTTCTTTCACGTATATAATCGTATTATTTTTTTATCAATTACTTTAAATGTAACATACAATACGCAATGATATATTAAAGTATACTGATATATAATGATATATTAAGTAATAGTATAATGATATATTAAAGTATAGTTAGGGAGGGACGGAAAGGGAAAGAAACATGTATGAGAATTTAACATAATCAAATAATAAATAATGGTCGTAAATTTGCGTGAGAAATTGCGGAGTCATTTGACGTCAATTCAACGCGATGATTTCTATCGGTCTGACACAAAGATATCCGGCTGGCCGCCGGTGATATCCGTTGATGACGCCATTGCCGCTGGCTGGCAGACGACTGCGATATATGCATAGGTTATCATCTGTATGCACGGGTTACAAAGAGTGTAGCGAGCAAACGGGCGGCCGCCTAATCCCCTCCCGTCCGGGTGGCCGCCGTATTCTTAACTTTGATACGACGTGTCGTCGTCATCGTCGGATACAAATACACGCGTATTGCATTGCGGCTGCAACCGAGCTGCCATCTTGGCATCAGAAGACGAAAGAAAGAAAGAAAAAGGAAGAGAGAAACAGAGAAACTGCGGGTGGAAGCTCAAACGACAAAACCGGAAGCTTGTTCGCTGCACGTTCAGAATCATAATTCTTCTTTAAATTTGACGCGATATCTTTTACAAGAAACACACATCATTTTTACTGCAAATTAAGTTATATAATTTCTTATTAAATTTATATAACTCTTCTTTCAATTTTTTTTTTTGTCAGAACGTGAAAAGGACAAGATGCCAAAATTATAAAAAGGATAAAATACAGAATTAGTATCATGTTATAACGAGACTACCGAAATAGTGACAAACACAGCTATTTTGATCATGTATATATATCATTTTATTTATAACTAATGATTGAGACATATATGTGTAGTATTATTGAAAGAATGTCTCATTTTTGTTAGCATAAAGTGGCATACCCATATCTGGATAAATTATGCACTGATTAAAAACTTATCTGTATTACTGCTGGCTGTTAATTTTCTTAACAGGAATTACACATACGCCGGATGCGACCAGAAACATATATATTAATGTCGTAGTTATACTTGAACATTTGCCAATTATAGCATGTACATAGATTGCGACGTGTGACATGTTGATTAATTTATAATTAAATTAATACATACAAGCTGGAGGGGGATATGTAATTGTCGATTTAACTCGCACGCTCGCTTGATTTATGATCGTACTGCGAATGCATCAAACGAAATTCCACGAATCGCTAAATAAGTTTATAAGATGACCTGCTGACGACAGGTCAATAAAACGGCAAAAATAAAAATATGAGTTCAATTATTATTAATTTCATTATTTTATTCGTAGAATATCTCTCATGTCATGCAAAAA